CTTAACCAGACTTATAGTATTAAAGGCACATAATGGCACAGAACAAGGGCTTTCACAGCCCATAAAGAGATGTTGTAAATGATGCTAGGCAAACTTATCAATGATTGGTACCGGCTCACATATCTCCATCCAAGTCACCTCACTCTATATAGTTTAATCACGTCTACTGATGTATTTGGAGTAAATAGAATTATTTTGATATTTATTGATATATGCATGTCTTTACAACTACTGCATATGAAGTTATATTTATGTTGATTACTTTACATCCATAGATGTGGAAGTAGTATTTCAGCAATATTAGCTGAGCCATCAGGGTTTATTTCTCAGCCCCACTAATAAGCATCAGCAAATAACACTACTCAGGAACAACCAATAAAAACAGGCCCTTTCTTAAACATGCCCATGGTTAATGTTATGCTTTCAGCCACTGTTGTGTACTTTTCCAATTATCCTTGCCTCTGCAGTCTATTCCCAAAGCAGTGGTCATACTGATCCCTTTAAAACTGTCAGCTAGGTGGAAAGTTGGCTCAGCTGGTAAAGGTGTTAATGGCAGAAGCCTGATGTGTGATCTTAGTTCTGTCCCTGAGGTTCAGTTTAAAATTAAAAGAAAAAAATTTAAAAAGGAAGGTGGGTTGTGTCCATCTGTTATCCCATCACTCATGTCGAGATGGATCAGGAGACCATTTCAGAAGCTTGCCAGCCAGCCACTCTGGGGACTCAGTGCAGCATCACCAAGAACAAGAGGGCGAGACCTGCCTCTAGAAGGTTGGTTCGATCTCCATCCATCCATCATGGCACCTCAGCCATACCCTGTTCCTGCTCGATTGGAGCATCCTGAGCCATATCCTATACTATTGGAGCATTCTACTGACTCCCCATTCCTTTCTTGGCCTGTATGTCTATCTGCGTGTTTGCGTGTTTGCCTCTCTCACTCTGCTGCAGTTGCAGTAGCTTCCTTGCCACCCTGGGACCATGCCAGACATTTCATTTCTGCTGAGTTTCGTTGCTCTGTGGTTTCCTCCGCTGCAGTGCTTTCCTCCAAGTCTCTCTGCTTGTCTCACACCCCACTTACTTCCAAATCACTGTTCCAATGGGGTCTGTCCTGAGCATCTACTTACTGTTATGCTCAGGACATTCTGCAGACCCAGGCTTATAGGACCTGGCCTACTGCATTGTTGCTTCTTCACAAGGTACTTGCTACCTTCTCCCTCACTCAGAACAGCATGCACATGTAGTTAATGCATAAGTCCCTTTAAACACACCAAGAGGAGGCCAATCTTGACTATACAGGTGGTCATATGAGTGAGCATGCCTATAAAATCTGCAAATATATATTTTAACTACAACTAGTTAAAACCATTACCTCTTTCAATCCAGTTTTTTTTTTTTTTCTTTTCTTTTTCGAGATCTCCCTTGCACCAAGCTGTTTTAGAGTTGCTATGACATTTCTGAGGTATGGCTCAGAGAAAATGGCATGGGGTATGTTAGCATTATTTCTGTCACTGTAACCAAATGCCAGAGATAATCAACCTAAATAAAAAATGGCTATTCTTCCTCACAGTTTTGGGAGTCCCAATCCTGGTTGATTAACTCCAAGGTTTTGGACCCTGTGGCAAGGCAGCATAACACAGCATGTCTGTAAAATGTGAGCAAAAATGCCTCCAGCATCTGGAATCCCATTGTCTGTTCAAGGGTGAAGTAATAGCAACCTAGGATCTATCAGTCGGCCCTGCTCTTAAAGGCTTCCAGGCCTCCCAATTGCAGCACCCTGCATCCTGGAGACAGAACCTTTAACACATGACCCTTCACTGAGAATCAAGATCTAAAGTGTAGCATGTTGAGTTCAGACATAGTGGTCATTTCTCTGGATAGTTCCGTTGTCCTAGCTGATTTGATGTGGAAAGATAGCTGCTGCTATCTTCCTATTACACAGAAAGGGTTCTACTTTCTGTATGATAGAGTGACAGGCAATGCAACATGGTTAACAGAAGACAAGCATGCTGTGAAATTAATAGAGCCAGTGAATCTCCCACATTTTATAGTTTGTACTTTAATGAAACCTGATGAAAGTTTTTTTTTTAATCAAATTCAAACTTGACCCTTAGAGCCTTTATGAACTGACCAAAGAGTTAAGACAGCAGGAGAAACCTTTCTAATCAGTAATACAAGTTTTAGGTAGTCATATGACAGAAAGAAAGAGATCATTTTTTCTGGCCTGATTTTGGTGAGGGGGACTGTGGCTGGGGCCAAGTGCTCTGTGCTCCTTTTCATAAAAATTGTTATAAAACAACCGTGCAAAGATGTGGTTGGAGACTGGTTAATCACTGTGAGTATTTGCCACTGTGTTTAATGTTTATAGTGGTTTTTCTATATGAGCTTTGAAATGTGTGCAAATTATTATGTCTTGTTCTTCTAGATGAATATTTAATACTGTGTTTCATTTTTGATTTTGTATTCTTCTTGCTGAAGAAGGCCCAGCAAATCATATGAATATCAGGCCTCTCTCTACTCTAGCTGTACCTTCATATGCCAATAGAATTCTTCCTTAATGTGTGTATGGCTTGTCTGCCTCTCCATCTTATCTGGCAGAGGACAATCATCTCATAAACAGAAATCTTATACTTTGTTAGTATATTTTAACTTCCTGACCAGTACTTGGCATGTAGGACCCAATAACACTTTTTTGAATGAACGCATACATCCACAACCTAACAGTGAACCATTGGTGTCAACTTAATTTAACCCTGCTCAAGAAAAGTGAATGCCAGCATGAAGGAGAATGCAACTACTATGCCACAGAGAACCCTTTTGGAATTTCCATTCTTCATGTGAGTAGGGACATAGATGTAAATTGCTATTTGTAGGTATTTTTCCGTTATCGTGAGCCATGTTTGTAAGTGGCTCCAGGTTATTATTTTCTAGGTTCTGTTACCTAGAGTACCAACGCTAGCCATGGCTGCTTTTGGCATTGCTCTGCTCCATGGGTGAGAATTTCATTTTAAAGCTATAGGAAGTGAAGTCATGCCAAGCTCCTCTAGGTAGCCGTGGCAGTAGCTACTTTTTCTTAAAACAACAATGAAGCAATAGGAAAGCAAGCTTTCATTTGCCTACATCTCTCTGTGGTAGAAACATTCAACCTAGAGAGCTGTCTGTGTCTAAGCACTGCACATTAGAAGTAGAAATAGTTGTCACACAAAGGAGGGCCAACGAGCATCTCAAGACTGGCAGTGAGAGTAGGCACAGTTCCATGAGCTTAAAAAACCAAAGGCGTTTCCTTCAGAAAGTAGATTCTTAAAGATTGCTGCTGGAGGAATGGTTGCTTAACTGTGAAAAGCACCTGTTTTTCTTAGGAGCCTGGAGAGTTAACTCCCTTAGGAGAGTTAAGAGGCAGTGTTTCTGTTTTGAGTGCCCTGCGTTGTTTTTTCTTTCTGGTTTTGGTTTTTGTCCATGGGGCTCTTGTTCTGGGACAGAGTACGGGAAGTCTCATTATCTGCAGTGAACAAAGCAGCCAACTAATGCCAGTGCTCAGTGTGGAGGCAGAGCTCTGCTCAACTGCACGCTCAGGCCCTTAGCACTCTCCCTGTTGTTTCCTAGAATACAGTTTCCTGGACTGAGCCCACAGTCCAGCAAGTCTAGATGAAGGGGCCTCAGTAAGTTCTTGAGCCTTAGACCTGGCAACACAAACTGGAGTGGCCACCTTCCTCATCAATTCCTGTTGCTTAAGCGTTCCATTTCAGATTAGGGCCTGAAGAGATTATTGGAACAGCAAGACACTCTTCCCACTCATCCTCTAGATTTGCAACTTTAGAGAAACTGCTGACTGAGAATTGTATTGTTACTCAGAAAAGGGGCCTCTCTCTTCTTCCCTCCCTCCCTCCCTCCCTCCCTCCCATTTTTCCTCTCTCCCTCCCTCCTTCTTTCCTTCCTTTTATCCCCATCAGGAAAAGACTCTTCCTGGAGTAAAAACCCAGTGCTGCCAAGCAGAGGCCAAAGGCTGTCCACTGGGCCACTATATCTCTGCAGGAGCACTGAGTGGGGCCATCCCTAAGGTTCTTCCATGATTAAATTCCTTCCCCCACCCTCACCCCCAGAGGTTGCAGAAGAGCTATTGAAACACATTATTTCCCAAACTGGGTTAAAACTCACCAAATAAAGTTTGAACTGTCTCAAAATAACAAAAGACCGTTTTCTTTGTTTTTCAAGAAGTTATTCTCCTGAATTATCTTCTCTGGAAATAGCACAAGAAATATATAAAACAGTCCACACTAAAATGTGATGGGCATCAGAAAGGGAAGAAAAGAACTTTAGATGGGGGAAAAAAAAAACCACTAAAAAGCAAGGATTTAAATTATTCATCAGGCCTCCCTCTGGCCTGAGTCTTTTCTTGCCTGGTGAATGGAGCACCCTGCGTGGATCCTCAGTGTGGGCAGGGGGAGTGTTCACTTTAGTGGGGCCGTCCTGTCAGGACTGGTTTATTCGGATCCTTTTGACCAGAACATTTGCCGCTCTCGTTTTTTTCCTTTTTTCCCAGTGACTGTTGCATAATGCAATATTTTATCTCTGTTTTCCACAACTTGTTGAGTATGTGCAGTTAAAATGTCTGACCTTCACCATCCTGTTATGTAATAAACCTGTCAGGTTGAATTTTGTTGAATGAGTCAGAAGACGAAGAGAACACTGATATCTTTTAAATAAGAACTGAACGTTCTCCATGCGATTTGTGGACTCATGTTTTTGCAAGGAGCAGGGAATGAGCTAGTTAACTGGTTGCTGACTGACTTTCGATGTCTGCCATTTCGGCATCTGTTCCGGGCTCTGCTATTTTAAGATGGTAGAGAATGGGAGTCAGGTGAGGCACCAAGACCAAACAGAACAAGGCCTTCCCTTCTCATCGTGGAACTCTTGACTTTCCATCCAGTTGCTTGGACTGTTCAGAGAGTTGGTCTCTTGCTTTACACAGGTCACTGTACATATGTCCGCATGTGTTTATTTTCCAGGTATTTGAAAATGGTAAAGACACTGGAGAGATCTCTGTTTACATCAGTAGAAATGATTTAAAGTGTGGTAGCCCAGCACAAGGTGACGAAACAATGCGAAGAGTGAGTAATCCTTTGTGTGAACATAAGCATTTCCTGTGTAACTTATATTTCCTGTGTAACTTAGGGTTAATGTAAACAATTACATCTGAAGGCAGTTTATAAAGTAGCAGTTGTTTGTTGTTCTACAAGGTGTGATACAGGTGCATGTTGACTCCTGAACCTTAACCTAATAATGTCTCAGCCATCAGTATGTTTGTATTTGAAAGTATTTTTATATTGGGTACTGTTTTTGATACATCAAACTTGTTCTCCATTTTTTTTTTATTTAAGTTTTATACTTTAAAAAGAAATGCCATAACATTTGGTGGAGGGTATACTCTGAGCATAGTATTTCTAAGCTATGCGCCTGAGTGACTAACATACAGCCTTGGTCTTCCACTATGCTCATTGTGAGTAAATCCCACGAATTTATCTTGGGCACTCTTACCTTTGCCTATTTTCCAGATAATTGGGATGTTTTTCAGGCAGAACCAACATGTTCAGGGTCTTTATTTTGAGCTTTTGTCTTGCATAAAAGGACACGGAACACCCCGTTGTTTACAAATTGGGGTTATGCGCCCGAGTGCACACCAGTGTCTTGGGCTCTGTTGCCTCCTCTTTGTTCAGACTCTTCTTCTGTTCAGTACAACCTGGCTTGTAGAGCCAATTTAAAAAGCTGCATCTTAGTTGGGTGGCACTCATGGATCATTGGTTGAACCCAGGGGAGACAGGAAATGTTACTTTAATTTATTAGAGAAAGATCCAAAGCCTTAGCTGGTTTCCTTTTATTATCATGTCCATAACTATAGAAATCAGCATGGTACCAAAGTCCTTCTAGAATTTTCTACCTGTCTCCCAACCTTTTTACATTTGAGTATTTTATACATTTTAGTAAATGTTGAAACTTGCGGTTTCTTATACAGGAAGCTGTTATTCTATGCAAACTTCATGTATTGACTAATGACTGACTGAAATTGTGCTTTGAAGTAAATGCAGAACTTCTATTAGGAGCATCATAAAACTCCACAGAGAGCATCCTAAGCAGCCCACTTCCTTGGGCAGACATTTGTCTCAATCACCAGTCTAAGAGGTTGTTTTATACTCTTCTCAGGTCTGGAAACAAATTCTTATCCTGTAAAGGCCCAATGATGATAGCTTTAAAGATAAATGGATAAAGATTATCACAATTTTTGGTTTCCACAGCCCAGCCCTAGCCAATGATCTACAGATGAAAGGCACAGAGGCCCCTGCCTCCCCTAGGCTGTTGAATGTTCATCCCTGAACACATAAAGTACAGTCTGTCACCAAGTTGGGGAAACAGAGATTGCGGAGATTGTGATGCAACTCCTGTGAAAATGAATGTGGTCATGTGTTTGGGAGCTCAGAGCCTGTCTCCTCACACCACTGGCCTTTGTACACAGCCCTGCTCCAGGATCAGGCCTTCAATCTTTTATGTCTTTCTCCTTTACAAAGAAGTGTTACCTCTAAAACAAAGTCCTGGTGATGTAAAAAAAAAAAAAAAAAAAGGACTGGTATTACATGCTTTCTGAAATCATAGCAAAGTAAGGAAACTAAGCTGAAGGGTTGAGAGCAGAGGGAATTAAGGAAGGGTAGGGCATTGGAAATATAATACATAGATCCCAAAATACGTTTGTACTTCCTGTGAGGAAAACAAAACAATGCAGGTTTTCACCTCTTAAACAAGTAAAGAGAACAGATGTTGTTATTGTAACATATAGAATTTGGTTCTGTTGGGTAAGAAGTATTAATTTTAGTGAAACAAAAGGATTATTTCATCATTTCCAGCCCTTTGATGCTCTCCTAAAAGTTTGGCTAATACAGGGCTGATTAACATCAGAGTTATTATCATTTTCCTTCAATCAGGCAGTGCTTAGTTCTGAGGCATTCTGTAAGTGTGACTGTTGACCAAAAAGAGTATTGCATTTAGTCAAGAATTTATGGCCAATGAAGTGAGACACCCAAAAACTTCTTTTCTTTTGAGTCTCAGCAATGTGCCTTCAGTAGAAGTTACTAGAAGGAAAGAGAGAGAAAACGAACAGCCTACCTCTCTGCAGGGACCACAGAGTGATAAGAAATTGAGAAGCGTATGAACTGACAAGGAGGATAGGAAAGGGAAGTCTATGACAGAAGGCTGGGGGAGGGGGCAGAGTGATGGATAGGGTGAGTGCCGAGCTGGGAAGAGCAGGGGCAGGAAAGCTGAAACAAAGGTGACAGATGATAATGAAAGATGTCTTCTTAAAGTACCTCATGTGCCGCAGTTCCACTGGATTTGCTTTACATTTGAAATGTGTTTTAAATATGAACCCTCTCCATAGCTTAGTCTCTGCCCGAAAGAAGCATAGCACTGGCAGTGCTATTATTTAAAACAATGAGTGACATCATTTCATAACCTCACTCCAGTTGTGTCTTACAACTCACAGACATCAGGTCCTGAAATCATTCCCAAGGTTTTCAGGGCTTGCAATTCAAACACTAGCAGAAGAGTTCTGAAAGAGACAGCAAAGCCTGAGAGGCATGTCCATTTTTGCAGCCCTGCAAGTGGGGGATTATACCACCCAGTTACCTGAAGCTGGTCCGGGAATAGGAACACAGACTGTTTTAACAGCAAAACTTGAATCTGGTCTGGAAGGGCCTAACAAACCATGCAGTGCAGACAAGACAAGCATAGCTCTCATCAAAGAGAATTGTTACCGGGTGTGGAAGCTAAACGCTCTTTCTATGAGACTGTCACATCTGCTTTCAGGCACAGTGCCAAAGGGTCAGGGCTCAATCACAAGCCTGTGGCACCCCCTGCTGGTTAAAAGCCCATGCTCATTTTGTTACTTTACACTGAACTAAACATTGCCGTCATTTCACACTTCTTTTAACATTCTATATGAATTTAATTATCGTTTGTTTGGACCAGAGAAGAGACAGTTTGTTACAGATGTTCGCATAGCTTATGTCTTCCTCTTCATCCCCTTCACCTGCCCTCCATCAGTTGCTTCTCAGAATCCATCAACGGCTTCAAGGTTCCTCCATCAAGTCACAAGGCCTCCACTTGTCTTCAGCTCGGATTTTTGATGAGCATGGTCAAGAGATTAAGAGTCCACTGCAGCTGAAGAATGGGCAAAAAATTTGGCTTTCTTATGGGAAAGCATACAGGTATGAGCAATGTGCTTATTCGGTGTGTCTTCAACCTTTCTGCGGAGAGCTAATTTAGCAGGAGAATTGAAAAGCCAAGTAAGAATTAAGAAAAAGAAAAAAAAAATACATTTTTTAAAATTCCCATAAAATTTAAAGAAGATTTTTTTAAGCAAGGCAACATTGTTTATGGAAGGAAAATGACCCCCTCTCTCTCTCTCTCTCTCTCTCTCTCTCTCTCTCTCTCTCTCTCTCTCTCTCTTTCTGCTTCTCTCCCTCCCTCTCTCTGACTTTCTGTCTTAATGCCTTGTCATAGTTCTTGAGGTCTGCCTGTCAGCACAGCAAGAGGGATTTGTTCATGTCTGAGTAGTCACCTTAATGATAGCAGATGGAAACGCCACGGGGGGCCCAAGCCCATCACACTGTCATTGTCACACACTGCCCTGACCCTGCTTCCTCTCCTCTATTTTTTTGTCCCTTTTTAAAGGAGAAATGGATGGTAATTGAAAAGGATCTTAAGCAAGATTTATGAAGCTGTAGACAACATGATTCCCCACTATATCTCTATGTTTTCACAAATAAAGTCTTAACCCCTAAGCACCAATGACAGGACAGCTAAAGATAAATTGGTAAAGCTTAAGGACCCTCTCCTATCAAAGTTATGTTCCTCACAGCGCCTCACATTAGCTGACAATAATTACTGGCTATTTGCTGAACATTGTGTAAATTTTTGTGGATTGGTAAATTCCTGCATAAAATTATCAGTCTTTCTGGAGAAAGAAAAGGCCGCTGTATCTAGGCACTGACAAGCTGGGCTCTGGTGTTGAGTTTCTCAGAAATGTATGCATATTTTGACAGGACACATCCAGCTGAGCCCTGAAGCTGCTTGTCAAGAAACTTAAACACACCTTTTTTTTTCCCCCCATTTTTAATTTTCTTAGCTCATTGTTTAGAGGAAAAACGAAATGGTGTTTCACGTAAGGTTGAATTGATCTTATGTTAACGATAACGAAAACAGCAGAGACAGATCTAAATCTCAGCAAACGAGGAACCCACTAGATTTGGTGTTTGCTCCAAATTTCAAACCTCAAACAACAGTCTCCTTAGAAATACATGAAGGTATTGGGGGGGGGGTGGAGCTGTGTCATGCCGCAAAATTTTGTTTTGTTTGTCCCAAGAGAGTAAAATTAAAACATATGCTGTATAATTTACAGAATTAGAAAATACACAAGGAATAACAACATTTTCACTATAGGCAAAATTCAAGTTAATCTAAGTTATATTGGGAGTAGAATTGTTTTTACAATGATGAAAACAGAAATGGATTTCACAGTAGTAAGAATTTAGGGATAATTTATCAAGCCCTTTCCATGCGGAGAACAGCTCTAATCAAGTGCGTACTGCTATTTCCTCTTAATGTCGTCGTCAAAGTGAAAGCAATGACTTTACCATATCTTATCATATTTTCTATAATTCAGTATTTTAAAAAGATTGAAAGTGTATTCTTGGCTAGTCATAGTTGTGAAACACATAGTACAATGCCAGTAATCTGGAACATTCCAGAATCAGGTGATGGTTGTGACTGGAGAACTGCGTAAGTTGTCTGTGATTGTTATTTTAATAGGATGATGCAATTTGTTTTCTAGTTTTGAAAGTAAAGCATTAATGTGATGGTACAGAGCACAAGGTAACTATGCCAGCATCTTGCCACCATTGGAATTTTTAAAATGTGTTATTTCTAAAATTATATTGGTACAAACTTTAAAATACACTGAGAAATTGCACAATATTTACTGAGTGAATAGTGTTTGTTTTCAGGAAGTCTTTTGCAGCGTATAACTTATTTTGAAATAGGCAGTCATACTCTTCTTATAAAAATGAATGTTTAAATTTCCCCCAAATTTTGCATATTTTGAAGAATTTTAAATTGCTGACAAGTGGGAAGAATATTATAACAAATATTTTCATATTCTTCATTTTGATTCACCTATTTAATGAGCTTTCCTATTTGTTTATCTCTCCTGAAAGTAATTGCAGACAATTATTAAAATTTTACTCCTTAAGTGCTTCTGGCAGATTGAAGAATAGAACCTTCCGTGTAACCGCAATATGTGCAAAACAGTTTATAATACCATGTTATCCTCTGACACCCCCTTTTTAGTCAGTTACCCACAGGTGCTGTGGTGCTTGCTAGTGTACCCAGTAGCTAGGTAGACTTCCTCTGTTGTGTTTGGTTCATTTCAATATCTCCTTTTAATCTAGAGCATCTCCTTCACCTTCGTTGTGCTTCTCTACATGAGTATTTGTTTTTCGAGAATTTTAACACTTTTCTTGCAGTATTCCCACATGCTGAACTTGTCTGTATTATCAGGAGTAAATGCAGATTAAATATTATTGGCAATAATATTTCATGGGCAACAATGTGGGTAACATTCTAGAGTTAAACCCTAAATATTTCTTATCTATCTAGAGAAAACTAGTTTCTAGAAGATCTGCTTTTTATTTAAGATGTTTTCAATATGATTTTAATTCTTAAATTCACCTACAACCTTATAATATTTTGGGAAATCAGATCAATGCAATACTTAACACTTAGTGAGCTTCTAAAATAGTTGTTTATAGTCAATATGATGCATTTATTTCATTACCAGTTCCAGATGCACTATGGGTACACTGAATTATATACACAGGGAAAATGACTTAGGTGAACACTTGTTTTTCTTAACTACAGTCTTTCATTGGTATAATTAAGTTTTTAAATTGTACATATTGCAAACATACTTGATGCATTTTGAACCAGCTAAATAAACTCAGATGTGTATTTATAATAGAAGTTCAAGAATAGTAGGTTTTATTAGATATAAGTACCAAATACCTTATTATTTGTGCTCCAATTTCAATGTGCATTATGTATTATGCAGGTAGCGTAAACAGTTTTTTTTTTGATTGTTTGTTTTTTTCAGATCTCCTTTAAGCCCTGTTTTGGCACTGACCTTTGACCGAGTGATTGCTTTTGCTAGAGATGGTACCACTGCTATCTATAAGACCTTTATGGATGCTGATGCTGCTCTGCTACTTGGATGTGATGAGTAAATTAATGTATATTTAAAGTAACCCATCAGCTAATTCAGGATTTCCCACAGCAAGAGATCTGAAACACTGAAATAATTTCTTTGAATTGCCTTAAACAATATTTGTATTGATTTACTTCATGGTCTAATGGGGTCAGGCCTAAACGACTCAGAAATGAGTAGTTTCTTTTTTTAAAGAAGTCACAATTTCATTTGAAATATAAAAGCTGTTTTTGTGATTATTTCCAAATTAATATCTTTAAGTGAATTCATTATGATAAAAAATAGGTTTTTTTCTCCAAATTTTCATATTTAATTCCTAGATTTGATAATGATGAAATGAAAACTAACACAGCGTATGAGGGGATCCATAAGGCAGTGGAAGGGAAAGTCAAGGATCTTGGGAGGATCTGGAAATATAGTACCATTTTGTTCATAACTGCCTACGAACAGTTGCTTATCTGTAAATAACAAAAACTGTTACCTATTCACTGTTGACTTGTAAATTAATGGAATAACATTTTAATTTAATTTTCAAATAATGGTTTAACCCCAACAGTCTCTGTTATCTCTCCAATTTTCAGAAAAAAAGCCAAGAAAATAAGAAACGATTTGCCCAAGCTCACACTGCTGGCACATGATGAGCCAGGAGACTCAGACTGGCATAGTTGGTCTTAAGGACATTAATGCTTTCCCACCAGGCAGTACATGATGGAAACATGGTCTATGACTGGTTGAGATGTGACTACTAGGTCTAAGGAACTTAGTTTTATAATTTATTTAAATTATATTAAACTTAAATAGAAATATGTAACTTGTGAATAGCATATTGGTTGTTGAAGCATGATGCCAATACTAGGTTGAGCTGGGTGACCTAGGATAGAGGAGAGGGCATAACCAAAAATCCAAAAGCATTTTGTTGAGGTTCACTCATTCTAGGCAGGGACAATGCATTGCTAAAGCAAAAGGATATACATTCTGGTTTTGTGGCCCTAACCCCATTGACTGCTTCCTCTATCCATGAAAGCTTTGGATATGTTCTCCCTGTTCTCTTTTGCTTGGTAGAGAGAAAATAATTCACCAGAATCTTTCTATTTAGAGGAAGATTTATTTTGTGTGTAGAAATCTTTGTTAAATTTGCTTAGAGCTGGCTAGTGAAACAGTTTAAGAGGTAAAGGCACAAGCTTGGTGCCATGAGTTCAACCCCCCAGAGCTCACATAAAGGTGGGAGCTGTAAACTGACTCTCCAACATTGTCCTCTGTCCTACATGAACACTGTAGCATGTACACCTCCACCACATACACATGCCATGAGTGCATGGGTGTACACACATGATAATAGAAACATATTAGACAATTCTTTAGACTTTCCTTAGATTTCTGGCTACAAGTTTAGATTTTAGTTCATGTACCCTGCTGTTTATTGCTTAGCCCTCACATAGTCATTTTGAATTTTGTTTTGTTGGGAGCCAAAGGTGCTATTTTGCTGTGTAATTGGGCTCCTAAGTATATCAACATAAAGCTGTCTGCATTTACTACTAACTGAATGTGTTAATTTGCGTAATTGTATACTCTATTCAAAGCTTCTTTCTCCATTCTACAATGGGACATTTCAACCCTTAATAGTCACTCTCTTTTTAATTTTTTTTGAAATTGTATTTATTTTTGCATATGGGTGTTTTGCCTGTATGCTTGTCTGTTCAGTGTCTGTTGAGGCCTGAAGGGGGCAGCAGATACCCTGGAATGAGGCTACAGACACTTGTTGACTGGCTTTGTGGGTGCTGAGAATTGAAGCTACATCCTCTGGGAAAGCAGCCAGTGCTCTCAACCACTAAGAAATCTTTCTAGCCACTCATGTCCTTATTTTTCAGGTTATTGATAGAATTGCTATTTATTATTACAATTGCCATTATCAGTCCAGAACTGATTACTTTCTTTCTTATTATTATTATTTTATAAAGTTTTGAAAATTTTCACACTTTTTTTTTCTTTTGGATAACTCATTTAAAGTTAGAATTGCCTATGCACTGGAGTATGTGAAACCTACCAATGGCCACGCCCTCAATAAGGAATGCTTCTCCATCTTCTACCAACTATCCACCACCAACTGCTCCTTTGTAAGCAAAGGACCTGGAGAGGATCTACACCATCTGTGCTGGGATTTTGGCCAGCTTGATCTTATGTGGTTCTTGTGCAAGTACCATGGCTTCCTTGAGATCATTATTGCTTCTCATGTCCAAGACAGAATTTCATATCCTCTGTTTCTTATGTTCTTTCCATCTCCTTTTTCATGATGTTCCCTGAGCATCCTAGGTAGAAGAACTAACAAATATTTCCTATTTGGAGCTGAGTAGTGAGTCTTTTATTCTTAGAACTTTGGCCATTGATGCATGTCTCCGCTTACTGTTGCTCACTGCAAAAAGAAACTTCTCTGACCAGGGTTGAGAGCAGCCCAGATCTTTGGTCATGAACATAAACATTTAAAAAGAAATTTAGTAGCATAGTCACTTAGCATAATGACAACAGCAGGTTCTATCTCAGGGCCTATGACTTTCCTATCTATGGACTTTTGGCTGTGATTATAAGACTATGTATGAAATTATTTTTTGAAGAGAAGGTCACTCTCACACCTGTAGGCATTTCTTGCTTGGTGGGTTGGTATTATAGCATGCAGGGTCCAATCCAAGTCAAACTATTGATGTCTTTTCTCCTGCATCAGACTGTATAGCATCTTCTAACCCTATAAAAACTAGTCAGCAAAAGGGAGTTTCCTGGTCAGCTTGAGATTGGTTTCTCTATGTCCTACAGCCAGAGTGTGTGATGTCTTTAGCAAAAGGTCTTACTGTGTAGTTATTGTGGGTAACCAAAGTCAATGGCAATCACCTGTGCTGTTTTGGAGATTTCTGGGATCTCCATGATCAATAATTCATAGGAAGAAATCTATGCCCTTGCACTGAGGTTTTTATTTAGAAAAATAAATGTCTTCTGGGAGTTATTGACCACTCACACAGAGTAATTCTGTTTCAACTCTTTTAAGTATAATTTTATTTTGAAATTAGTTTACTCACTAGTAAATTTCCATAAGGCATTTACCATAAGGTATAACTCACCCATTACTCTTCCACCTCCTCTAATGTCCACCTTAATCCTGTGTAATCTTTTAACAGAATTCTTCTCTCTTCTTTCTTTTCACATACATTCTGCTACCCTTACACTTCTTTTCTTTTCTTTAAGTTGGGTTGTGAAGTAGTAGGCTCTTCCACTGCTTTTCATATCTCCCCTTTTGGGGTTAGCTCTCCCTTTTACAAGCTTGAATGCCCCCATACGCTCATAGCTCTCCTTGCTTAAGGCTTTTTCTCCCTGGCATTGCACCTCACTGCTTCCATTTTACCTAAAATCTACTACTTTCCTCTTGATTAGTGGGTCTCTCAGTTAAAAAAAAATGTCCCCTTCTATTTATCTGGCCTCTTTGTGTGTTCTGAGTTAAACATCTGAGACAAAGAATTGGAAGCTAGGACTCACATTTATGGGAACACACTGTATTCATCTTTCTGGGTCTGAGTGACCTCACCTAGGATACGAGTCATATTCCATCATGTGTATGTGCCTCATTTTTCTTATCCATTTACCTGGTAATAGACACTAAGGTTGATTCAATTTCCTAGTTATTATTAATATAGTAGCAATGAACATGGATGTGACAGTTGTCTCTGTAATAGGTATTAAGTCCCAAGACTGGATAACATGCTATATAGCTGTGGTTCTCAACCTGTGGGTCATGACCCCTTTAAGGTCACATATCAGGTATCTTACAAATCAAATATTTACAATACAATTCATAACAGTAGGAAAAGAACAGTTATGAAGTAGCAACAAAAATGATTTTATGGTTCATGGTCACCACAACATGAGAAACTATATTAGAAAGTCACAGCATTAGGAAGGTTGAGTACTACTGCTGTATAGTATGACCTAAAACACCAGTGACGAGGCAGGTCATTGCTGTAGGGTAAGGATTTGATCACTTTTAAGATACTTGTCTATATTAAGAGTGAAACCCCAACCTTTTTAGATTTCATTTTCTACTGGATTCCCATTAGTCTGTTATGCATCTACAGCCTCACTTGCAAATTCTGAACTAAGATGTTTTTGACCAACTAGTATAAGTAACTATCAAAAAGCCCTTTGTTATTTGTAGCTTAGTGGATTTGTACTTAGCAAAGATGATAGCCTCCACTACAAGCAATTCTCTACAATTATTTTTATCTTCTATTAAGAATTAGTTAAAGACTTAATTCCCCAATATCATAATGACAAGATAAAATTTTAAAGTTTTTCTCACTTACAAATGTTAATATGCTTTATAAGTCTTTCGTGTCACACCATTTCACTACTAGAGGACATTAATCATACAATGCAATTATAATAAAGGATATTATAGTTTAATGTTTTTATTTTACCAAAACTAATTCTAATATCTTATTATTGTTAGTTGGGAAGTTTGTGAGGGATTTCCAGTGAACATTGAGTGTACCCGCCAACAGATCCCTGATTGCTTTGAAAAGGTGGCCTTGGAGAACCATTTCCTACAGAACAAGGTCAGACCATATGTGCTGTGACAGGGCCTGTTTTGCATGTTAGACAATCAGCTATTGTATTGTGGTTACTCGATATTTTTAAAAGATCTGTCTTACATATAGAAATTGTTTTTGTAAATGTTTAGGCAGGCACTTCTGTCTACTTCTTATTAATTACTTCTAACTTTACATAGTGTACCGTGTTCACATTGGATTGTGTCATATAAATCCTATTGTTTGTCATAATTTTTCATTCAGGAATAATTAACAAGTTAGGATTCTTTAAGAAAGCTTTTAAGATGTTTATTGCCTTGGGCCAGCCACTTGTGGACAAGTCTGAGCTCTTGTTATTTCATCAAAATAATTTGATAAAAAACCATGCATACTAGCTGGGCGTTGGTGATGCACACCTTTAATCCCAGCACTAGGGAGGCAGAGGCAGGCAGATCTCTGTGAGTTCAAGGCCAGCCTGGTCTGTCTACAGAGCGAGTTCCAGGACAGCCTCCAAAGCCTCCAAAACAATACAGAGAAATCCTGTCTTGAGACCCCCCTCCCCAAGAAAAAAGAAAAAAGAAAGGAAGGAAGGAAGGAAGGAAAGAAGGAAGGAAGGAAAAAAGAGAAAGAAAAAACATGTGCTACTTCCTTGTATGATAGGATTTACTTTGCTTGCTATACTGGTCTAGACCCAGTTCACAGCAATCAGATCCACATCTGTTTATAAATTTCTACTTGGAAATTCATCCTCCGTAATGTTTATCAGTTGACCTATGATGTATGAAGAGAAACAATTATCTCATATTTCTTAGCTAAAAATCTCTGTGTAATGCAAGATTGTTATTCATGTCAGCCATGAACATTTGTTTTTGAGCTGAAGGAAAAGATGTCCCAAGCAACATGTCTGAAGAAAGCAGGAATTCTGCCCCAACAATCCAAGCCTTTACTTCTAAGACAACATGCAAAGGATACGTTATCTAAACTGGCTTAATTTATTTTTCCTATTGTTACCCACTGACTCTTTATTATGTCAAAATGTGTGTTGAAAATCTTGGTTTGTTTGTTTCTACAAGCATGTTACTTGAAATAGTGTAACTATAGAAATGGAAAGCAAAGTATTTCTAATCCCAGCTGATTTTGATCAGATTTAGAAAATAGTACAGTAGCTGGTGCCCATTGTTTTAAATCCATCTGAGTTATCTGATATAGGTCTCTGTGTAGAACATAGCTTGAACACCCTTGTGCCCACATATCTCCAGAGAAACCAGGAATGTTAAGTACCCAGGATTATCTTTTCAAGGGGAAAGATGACAAGCCTGTTCTTCTGTCCAGAAAGCTAAGAGTTTGGAGTGACAGCCTGATGATCTGAGTTCTGTTGGTCCAGGCCATACCAAGCTCTTACAACTAAAACCTAAAGCAGCTAGTAATATAAATGACCCTGATACCAATAGGCTCCCCCAAGCTCCTACAGTCAGGACCAGAGGGGGCTAATAGCCAAAATGACCTCAATTTTATCTGTATGACCAAGATAAGACCAGAGCCTTCCTTAGGCCCTTAAGCTAGTACAGGTGCCTATCTCTAGCACAATGTGGGTAGCACAATGTAATTGTGCTTCTTTGTTCATTGAGGTTTGTATTACATCAGGAAACTTTTTTTTTTTTCAAATTATACTGGGCTTAAATACACTGGGAATAAACTGCCTGCTGTTATATTCCCCGAAGTCTGATCCAGGTTGATGAAGTCAATCTGTACCAGGTTCACATCCCTGTATGACACTTGCAGAGATCCACTCAGGTGTGTTCCTGTTAGTGTCCCTTATTAGAATTTTCTTGGTTTTGTTTTCCTGTTTAAAATCTCTTCATATGTCTGTTACCTACCGAAGTACTTGCCACCCTCACTCTCAGTTGACATCTCCAGTCTTTCATCATCTTGTTTCTCTCTGCATCCGACATCTAGAATTAGTGAGCTGTGTGCCAAAGCAAACTTTTGATATGCTTGTATAGCAGCTTGCTTTGTGCCCTGCCTGAGCCATGTATCACTCACATTCATTCCCTAGGCTCATAAGAATGTACTCCACTTTGCATTTTTTCCGTGTAGTCATCCCAGATCCTCCAAGTAGAATCTTTGTTTTGTGTTCTCTGAACTACTTTTTTCTTTTTATAACTCTTCTTAGTGTTTGTGATTTGGTATAAGCACTTGCCTTTCTTGGCTTCTGATTTTCTGAGTTGAAAATTCTTGGGATAAAGATAATATGTGTAAATGCCAATACAAAATCCAGAGTGACATACATGTATACAAACATACAGACACACAGTGTGTGTGTGTGTGTGTGTGTGTGTGTGTGTGTGTGTGTGTTAGATTTTTGAGATGGGGTTTCATATAGCCCCAGCTCTCCATATCTTCTGAGTGTTGGTGGAATCACAGTGTTCATTGGCTGCTTTGTGGAAACACTTCACTTCCTGTTGCACCCATATAGATCCCACTGCCTAGAACTCAACTTCCTTCCTTCTTTCCTTCCTCCCTTCTCTCTCTTCCTCCCTCTTTTCTTCTTTCCTTCCTTCCTTCCTTCCTTCCTTTCTTTCTCTACTGCTTGTCTCTGTTTCCCTTGTGCCATACTTCTGGTATTGATAGCCCCAGAAAATTTCTAATAGTATAGCATTGAACTAGCTACTATTTTGGTATTACTATTGTTATTGAGTGTGTTGTAGGCATGTGTGTGCATGTGTATGTATAACTGTGCTTACCATGCAGGTATGTGTGTGTGGAGGCCAGAGGTCAACCTTGACATCTCCCTCTATAGATCTTCGCCTTATTTTTAAAGAAAAGGTCTCATGCTAGACCCACAGTGTGATATTTTGGATAGGCTAAATGGCAAGCAAGCAACTGGGATCTATGCCTTTCTTCTCTTCAACCCCAGTTCAGGGTAACCTGGGAGCAGGAAGGGTACATGGTAGGTTCTATTGAAGATGTTGGGATCAGAATGGTTTTAGTTCAACAGTAACATTTTGATTATCCATTCTTTCCCAGAAGGTATTTGGAATGTTTGATGAGAGGAGACATCAGATTGAGTATTAGGAAGATGGCTCTGGTGGCTCTTGTTTTATCTTCTCTGCTAGACCAAGGGTTCCTCAAGGACAGAGCCTTATCTTGCTTGTGTCGGCTTCAATGTCTGCATGCACAGAGTTAGGTAAATGGAAGCAAGTTGATGAGTTAATTAACAAACTCAACAGAGATCAGTTCAAACTTAAATGGTTAAAACAAAAAAAGATCTCAAAGAGATATTTGGAAAAGGAGGCAGAAGTCGGGTTTTCTCTCTCTTACTGTGCCCAGTTTTTACTCTGTAAGATGGCATACACTCTAATGCTAAGAAGGAACAAAAAAAAAAAAATAGTCTGTGGGTATTTATTATTTACTAATTGGATCCCATGACCAAGTGAAATGAGAAAATATTCATCTCAAGTAAATGTCCCCTCACTAGTTTTGAAAGAATACATTCATTTTTAAATAAAAGTCAACCAAAATAGTAGAATGAAAAGGCAAGACCTTGATAAATTCCTCAGTAAGGAGAAGCTTTTGGGGTGGCTGGGAGGGCCCTCTTTGCTGTGAAACCTTTAAAATCCTTTCAGTAAAGTGTCCCCAATTATTTACAGAGAGGTGACCAGCGCATTGGGAATAGTAATTTAATAACTTGAAAAGGAGTTCTTTAAAGGTGGGTCCAGGCAGAGGTGACAGGCATCTACAGGACATTTTATTGTGGAATCTTGGTGCTCACTGAGGTAAAGAAGACACTAAGAGGATTACAACAGGGGTTGAGGGAAGGGAAAGAAAAGCCAATATTCCCAATGCATAGGTTTTAAAATTGGCTACAGATAGAGATGTCATTGCCCAACCCCTGACTGTTCTTTTAAATCTCTTATTGACAAGTAAAACCTTTCCTACAGAGAAGTATCTGGAACATACAATTCCCATTTGCAATGTGGGCGACCACTGTAACCCTCAACAATTACAGCCTGTTGCTCTTTTATCCATTTCAAAACCAGATTTGGAAGCCACTAAGAGTTGACAATTTGGCACATACATCTTTCAAAGACTCCCCTATTGTTGTTCACATTGGCAACATTTGTAGATTGCTTCGGTTTTAGAGCAATCAAATTATATGTTTCCATACAATGGATGAGATTTAAACTTCATGGTAGTTAATATAAAAAATGTGAAAAGAATAGCTTGAGAAATGGCTGGTTATGGCAGAACAGAGAAGAAAAGCATGGACTCCAGAATTTGGCACATCTTAAATTTTGCCAAAATGGAGAAGAAACTTGTTTTGTTCCTAGTCTTTTGGGAGTTAACTTTAGGTATCAGAGATTTTTGATTACAACGTTCTTTACAAAAATATTAAGAAAATGAGCAGTTTTTAATTTTAGAGTCATGACATACTTGTTGCAAGCTAATTTTTAAATTCAGATCTTATTGCAGGATGCATCTATAACTGTTAAATATATGATTATTCGACAATTAATCTTTGGTCACAAGGAGATTGGACAAAGATAAACAATTGCTTGCAACATGGGACTTTTAATTAATTCCTCAGTTTCTTCCTCATCTTGAGACCATGTGAGTTTGAATATAATTGGCCCCCAGTATCCCATAATCCCATAATCTCATAGGCAGTGGCACTATTAGGAGGTGTGGCTTTGTTGGAATAGGTATGGCCTTATTAGAGGAAGTGTGCCACTGTGGGGGTGGGCTTTGAGATTTCATATACTCAAGATACTGCCCAGTCAGTCATCCAACTTCCTGTAGCCTGCAAGATGTGGGACAATTGGCTATTTCTCTAGCACCATTCCTGCCCACATGCCACCATGCTCCCCGCCATGATGATGATGGACTGATCCTATGAAATTATAAGCAAAGCAACCTCAATTAAATCTCTTGTTATAAGAATTGCTGTGGCCATGGTGTCTCTTCACAGCAATAGTAAACCCTAACTAAGACTGACTGATAATTGGAAGCCACTTGAGGATTGTATACCTGGATTTAAGTTGCCTTCCCTGCTTTGTTGTGTAGTTACATCTTTGCTGATGTATTTTGCTCTCGGACCTTTTCATTTCTTGGTAGGAATGACTGAAAGGGATGGAAGGAAAGATATTTAATAATATTTATTACAGTAATTTACTTATAAAATTGTTTAACTTAGCAGTAAAGTACATCATCAAAAGTGAAATTTTAGACAAAATTTCTAGGCAGTAAATAGTTCAAAATGAAGTAGGACCTGTAAGTTTCTTCTTTCTGTCCTTGCAGTCTATTTCTTGGTGAACTTGCAGGAGAAGGTGAGTGGCGAGTGGGTATTAAAAGCACATCATCATTATTAATCATTTTGGGAAAAATAAGGAGTTTGAAATGGCTGGATATACATCAGCATAGTCCAGTCAGACAGGGAAGATTAGAATGACCCTTTAAGATCAACTGTGAATATAGGCATCAAATTAAATAAACCATAACTCCCTTTTCAATTTATGACAGCACTTTAGAAGGCTTTTCAATACCAGATAGGATATGTATATACTCAGACAATCAGACTCAGCACAAATATTTCTATCCGCATGTGTGCAGATGCACACACACATACCCATGTATGGCACATTATGTTGTAAATTGTTGGAGTAATTCTTCCCTTAATCCTAATTTTCACAGATTTTTATCTCTCTCTTGCCCCTTATAAACTATTTGCTCTAGAGATAAGCTGTTATACTAAAGAAGTCAAGTTGAACCATTGAGACAGCTTAGTGGTTAAAAGCATTTGTCATATGAGCATAATGATGGAGCAGACCCCCAGAACACTCATAAAGGTGGAAGGATAGAACCAATTCCACAAACTTGTCCACTGTCCTCCACATGTGTGCCACAGCATGTATGACCACTCATACTTAACACATCATATAAGCATATGCATGTGTACACAAAGATACACACCAGCACTAATGAGATAAAAAATATTTTTACAAAGAGATCAAGTTTTTGCATATACTTTGAACTCATTATGAAGATTTGCAGGAGGGCATTGATGGGGGAAACATGTCATTGACCTCCCCTGGGTTCATTATTAGCTCACACAACTTGTGTTATTATTTATCACATTATATATGTAGATGGCTTCATTGTCTTTATAACCAGACTCTGAGGAATCATTTTCATGGGACCCTGTTCTACAATGGTTTTTGTTTGTTTGTGTTTTCCTGGGCTTCTTGATAAGCTTGTCTCTTTGGGCATAAGTGAAAACAATAAAAATGAATTTCCTGAAATAATTTCAAATGAAAAAAAAAAAAAGAAAAAGAGGAGGAAGAAGAGAACAACAGAGGAAGAAGACATAGTCACATGAGAAGATTCTTAGTGGTGGTTGTCAGTTAAGATTTGGCAAGATTCCTTCCTTCTTTTCTTTTCTTTTTTTTTTTTAATAACACAAATGAAGCTACACTGGTGTGGGTCTGGCTGTGTCTGCCCTGTGCAGAATCACTTGGGAACTGTCCAGCAAAATATCTCTTGAAGAACAGCATGGTGTTAATACTGGGTGCCAGCCCAAGTCAGAAACAAAGGACCCCCTTGCTCTTCACCAATAAGCCAACTGTTAAAAGATTAAACCATGTTGTGGAGATAACAAGAATTTAGGCGCTGGCAGCAGGTGCTGTACAAAGAAGCAGTTGGCAGCATGGGTCTTCTGTCTAATTCCAGTCAAAACAATCTCCTGCCCAGATACAGAGGGGGAGTTTAGAGGATGATGGCAACTTGGAGTGAAGAGGTTGAGTAGGAGTGCTACTTTAAATACCGAATCCTGTGGTGATGGCTTAGTAGAGTATAGTTTATCATTGTTCAAAACCGGTGGGAATTCCCTTCTAGAATCTAGCCACTCCTGGCTTTCTAGGGGAATACACAGTCAACACACTGTTAAGTCCAATGTCCTTACGTTCTGAACAGCAGCCACAAAAGACAGTTAAAAACTTTCATTTTCACACAAAGGAGTTGTATGGCATTTCTCCTCTTGAGAGAGATCTTTCTTTTCTCACAGAATAATTGTCATAACATACCATTCTGTGATTGCTTGAACATATTTTAAAATATCAACTTATGAATTATTGTTTAATTTATATGTTAGAAATCATCCATTATTCAGTAAACATATAGTATTGTTAAACATTTTAGCATAGAAAGTGATTTAAATGGTTGTTAAAGCAGCATAATTTATCATAATAAAAGTATATGTTAACATAGCTCTATGATCTTATACATGTTGCCATTTAAAGGCTGAGATTACTTGAGGAAATGTTCCTATAACTTAGGAAGTAAATTTTATTAAGTGTGAAGTATCAGAGTTCCTATAGGATAGGAGTTCCTATGAGTGGATAGGAGTTTAATAATCAAGTGTAAGCAAGTCATACTTGAAGGTGCACGTGCCTTCTATATATTTAATGTGATAAACAGCACAGGTTTGTGGGATCTGATAATGACCCCAGAAGATATGTATGGAGTGTTTCCCTAGTCAGTGCTCTCTCCTTCTCCAGTAACTCTTCAAGCTCAGAAGTCTCAGTTAATATGTTTTATACTCAGGGAGTATGTAGACACCGGATCATTTCCCTGCCTGTGATGTCTCTATTCAACACTATGTGATGTCCTCCCATGGCATACCAACCTCAATAAAACCTGTTGGGATCCAGGCCCTGGTGAAAGTGCTTGCCATCCCCCTGGGGTGACCTAACTGTAGCCTTCACCGGATGCTTTCTACAGTTTGGCCAAGTTTACCTTTTTGCTCTACTGAGAAATTCTAAGACACACAGAGTGAAACTGCTTTAGTTTTGATAACATTTTGCTCTTTATTACCCGTATCAGATCCATTCTACTCTTTAAGAGCTGTAGCATGTTACTCTTTCAAGATGCCTCATTTTTATTTTTATAACAAAAATATGCCTATTATTTCAGATGCCTCTAACACACTCTAACACATATTAATTGTTGCATAGTGTTTAACATGAGAATAACTTTTCTTTCTCCCTTTCTCTGATGATAGAGAATCTTTACTATATGCTTTTTAAGGCATGAGAAATATCTTACAATATCCCATGCTACACAGACAGGGTCTTTGCACATCAGTACTGACCAAGTGCTGGTTTTAGAAGGCAGCCTCTCAGTCAGAAAACCCTGTGTTTGGACACGACTCATTCATTTTGAGTAAGTGTGTTGAAGAATGCTCATTTTTAAGTTCATGAATTAAAAGGGTATCCTTCTCCTTGTGTGATGCAGGTGGATCCCAACATTGTTCTTTATGCCTCTGTTTCCATCAGAAAGCACAGCTTCTCAAGGAGGGAAGTGAACAGTGGGATTCAGGCAGTGTCCTCCTGGCCTGCAGCCAGCATGTGGCTGATCACCAAGGTACCCAGGAACATCTGCTCTTGCCACATGATTGCTCCTTCTTTGCTGCCATGTTGTGCTGCTCCAGAGCCTGGGCCCTCTTGCATACAAGCGTGCAAGTGGACGCATGCTAAATTGCAGACTATTAAAAACATCTTTTCTGCTCTTGGTATTGTCTAATGCAAAAGATTTATGTAGATTGCCAATAGGCATTCAGTATAGTTTTAGGCATTCTGATTAGGTTACATCTCAGAATTTACTTAAACCAAGCACAGAGCTTATACGAACCCCACAGACTGATCGTTTTTCATGGCAGGTGTCTTAGTCTTCATTATTGATTTTTACCAGCTCAGCATCATTGGGCTTAGTAGATTAACACCATATTATGACTTTTCATACAATCTTATCGAGGACAGTTTTAAGAGAAGATTTTCAGTATAAAATGTGAATAGTTTATACACCTATGTAGGAAATCTTAATTTTTCTTTATTAATTTATAATTATATCTGACATATATGAGGAAATATAATTGCCCCCTACTCTCTTATTATTAAAAAACAACTTGTAAATATATACCTTATCTGGAAAAGAATGGCCCATCTTGTGTTTGTCCTTTTATTTTCCTTTGCCATCATTCACATCAGGATGCTCTATTGTTGTCTAAACATTCCGGGCTGTGTGAAACCATCCAATTAAGTTTGGTGACACTTTCCTGTCGTGGTTGGGAAGGACATTGAAACCATTTCTCACATAAAATCCTTAAGCACCCTTGGTTATTCTATGATCCTCTGATAGACGAACGCAAACTTATAGAAAATAAGATACTAAGGTACTAAGAGATAATGCTCATTTCAGATAATAAAGTAGAATCGTGTTGGATGAGATGTACTTAATGTCTGTACCCAGACTTACGACTCTATTAACCATTATTGGTTCTTTTTACCTTGTTTTCACTATTATCTTTTTATTCCTGTTAGTGTTAGAATAAACCTAAGAAAGCACAGAGAAAAGGAGAAGTTTGTGTTAGTTCCTGACTTTACAGGTTCCAGTCTGTGATCAGTTGGCCCCATAGCCCAAGACAAGGCAGAATATCATGGTAGAAGGGCATGGAAGAAAGACAACTGCTGGTCCTGTTGCAGTCAGGAAACAGAGAGACAAGAAGGGACCAGGGACAACATACACCCTTCAAAGACAATTCCCAGGGAATGGCTTCTCCACCCAGGTTGTATCTCCCGATGTCACGTTAAACTATGGATCCACCAATGGATTTCTACACAGATTAGATCAGAAACTTTTGATCCAGTTGTCCTTCAGGGTTGGATCCACAAGTGGTGACCAGGCCTTTCACATGAGCTCTTTGAGGGACATTTCACAACAAAACCATAGCATTTACACAGTTTAAGAAGCAAAGGCTAGTAACAACAAAGGAAGGATTGCTGGTCTGTCTGACTTTATAAATTAAACTTTTCTTCTATATTATAAGGCCATACTTTATATCCAATCAATCTTTGAACATTCTAGGAGTGTCTTACTCCTAGTGCTACCACTGAATACCTAGGTGACTACAGTCTAATTACACATGGTATGTAGAGTTAGAACTTCTCATCCTAAATGAAATGAATTAAATGCTACAGAAGGCCCTTTTCTAAGTCTCATTTCTGTAATTTATTTCTAGAATCACACTATATAATGCAATTTGTTCTTTTTAACATTTCCTTAATTGAAATGCTCTCTCAAAGAGTGCAGTTTTCCTGGAATTCCTTGTGTGGCCCAGAGAAAGTTATTTGGGTACCATGAGACATAGTTTCTTTATCTATAAAATGGAGTTAGACATGCCTTCATTGCAAAGTTACAGCACCAGTAGAAATTAGAAATATATCTGGTATTGAGGCATAACATCTTATATAAAGAATGCTCAGCAAGTCTTTCTTCCTCTCTGTAAGCTTTTTCCTTTTCCGTACAAACATATTTACACATGCAAGGATTACAAGTACTTATCACCATCCAAATTGTTTAGAGATATGTTTCCTAGGTCACCATGTATTTCTCTTTTACACAACAAAAACCTGAAAAGCAAGAGTTATGTGCTATAAAGGAAACAAAAAAAAAAATCAATGTACAAGTAACTTCCTCCCTTGCCCCTTTAACAATAAATCCCTTCTGTGATATAATACAGAATTTCAGATGCCATAAATCCCCAGTAGGTATGTATAAATCTCTCTGTGGTTGTGATTAATTTAAAATGAGCTAATTCCATAAGTAGGAAAATTATTATTGAATAGCCACTTACACAATATTCTCAATTTTCTCAACAGAGAATGCTCAATTTTAAGACAAAGAGGTCATGGACCACCATCACTGTACAATTTTAACCTGGGGTATTAAGACCAAGAGTAAAACTTTAAATTGATATGAAGGTTGAGGATTTGTTCCAATCCTCTCAGTTCACTGCACGTGTTTGTCTGTGCATACAGATTTCAAGTAAGCTCTGTAGTTATAACTCTAGCAAGTGACACGTGATGGACCCCAAGCCACTACACTGTGAAATATGCACAGAAAAGAAGGACAAATGAAGATAGCGAGGTCTGTTTTATTTTGCGCTCAACTGTAAAATGCCACCCTTGTAGGACAGAGGCTCGCTGCTTCTGAGCAGGACTCACTGACTGCTAAGTTGTGGGTAGTATTTCACTTTGAGCCACTGTTAATATCCAGGTTTATCCAGGCATAATGACCTCACTATTTGTGACACATTGTTGAATTTTCTGGTTCTTTTAACTTATTTAGACTTTTTTCTTCCTTCCCTTTCATTGGAAGACTGGGATGATCCTGAACAGAGCGATAACTCAGGGCTGCCTGGCTATTGGTCATCCAGTCAGAGTTGAGACCACCCAAGGAACATCACTAGAAGCATACAAATTACTGCTACGGAAAAGGTAATACTTATGTGTGATATGGCTCAAACAACAAACATTGCCTTTGCAGATTCTGAGCAGGCGTATTGAGATGTTTTATGGCTTGGATAGAAAAATCATGAGGGATTTACACTTCATGTTAACATTGCTATTTTAACCTAGAAGAATCTTCTTGAATATTTATGTCACTTAGTTCGGAAGTATGCTAAAAAGAGAAATGTTGACTTCAAAAGGATCTATGCAGTCAACTAGCTCTGTGAGCTTTACTCTGTTAGCTTTAGGATTCATTGTTTTACTCCATTTATATTGCAAATCAAAAAACTTAAATTAGCTTTGTGCTTTTAATCTTTTCTCCATTTTTTGAACGTGAACACTGTAAAAGTAAAATTATGAGATGAAACAATGGCTGACTTGGAACAGGCCAGAAGTAGCCTCTGTCTATCTTACAGAAGATATGGTTAGAAATGTCTTAAGAATACAAGTAAATATTTTTGGATTTAAAAAAAAAAAAACACTGAGGAAGTTGATTTACATCTAATCACCTAGAAGAATTTTTTCCAAGATGCTTCATTTTTTTGTTCCTTCATTCCTTCATTTCTTCCTCCCACCCTTCCTCTCTCTGTCCTTCTTTTCTACCCTTCTTTCTTTTAAGACAAAAGCTCTCTATCATCTAGTCCTGGCTGTCCCAGAACTCACTATGTAGATCAGGTTGGCCTCAAATTCACGGAGCTCTTCTGCCTGTGCCTCCTGAGTGCTGCGATTAAAAGTATGCTCTGTTTTCGCAGCACTCATCACCTTTGATTTAATTTAATATCAACAAGAACAAGCCTTGTTGTAATTTTTTTAGTACATTGAGAGCCATGATTTAGATAGTTTGACTCAATAAGGACATGCATAGAGATGAAGCTACAATAATGATATTTAGGCATCAGGGAGGTTGGCCCAGATGTGGTTGCAGAAGGGAAAATATAACATGAATCATGAACATTTTGTTCAGCAGGCATAAATACCATACAGTGATTAAAAGCACAGTCTATAGTCAAGTTTCTAGGTGTAAACCCTGGCTGGACAACTCACTCTCACAACAACCACACACTTCTGCACCAAGTACCATTCTAAAATCTCAAAGTTGCCTTGTTACATTAAACCTCATGTCAGTTGGGTTAGCTAATTATCATGATTATCTGTACTGAAGTTGAGGAACCAATCACTTGTTCAGGGTCATACCTAATAGGTAGCTGAACAAAAAACAAACTCGACCAGACAGTCTCTTACCCCAAAACAGACTCTTAGTCACGACACTACTCTATGTAATAGGAGAAAGTCAAATAGAAAACTTGACAGCGAGTGTCTAGTATAGTAACAGAACACCTTAGAGGTTGAGGAGGGGAAAAGGCATGCAGGAAAAAGAGACATAAATGTTTTTGAAAATACACTTTTATCATGAAATTTCTGTAATTGTGTCTTATTAGGCAAATAACTTTTCTCACTTAGCTTTTACACATATCCCTATTACTGTAACTAGGCTTGATTTGTGTATTTAAATGCCATCTCTGCACCCCCCCCCAGTGCTGGGAGTACAAGTGCACTTATGGTGCTTGACTTTATATGTGGGGCCTAGTGATCAAACTTGAATCCTCATGGTTGCATTGGAGTCACTTTACTGACAGAGCCAACTCTATAGCCTCTTAAAGAGATTCCTTTGTTTGTTTGTTTGTTTTGAGACAGAGTTTCTCTGTGCCTTTGGAGGCTGTCCTGGAACTAACTCTTGAGGTCCAGGCTGGTCTCAAACTCACAGAGATCCACCTGCCTCTGCCCCCCAAGTGCTGGGATCAAAGGCATGCACCACTACCACCTGGCTAAGATATTCTTTTCTTATTCTTTGAAAATCCATAGTTGTATACCTTTCCCCCATTCCTTCCCTCAAATTCCACTTGGTCCTCTTCCGCACTATATTTCCCTTCTAGCTTGTCCTAATTTTTTAATAACCCATTGAACCCAGTTAGTGCTGTATATATGTACATGACTGTGGGTTGACTAAGACATGGGCAACCTAAAAGTGGCCACCCCTCAAAGAAGAGTGACTCTAATGTAATCACTGACAATCATCGACTGTCAACATCTCTTCAAGTAGGGGTAGAGTCTACACGCTGGGATTTGTAACCAGATTGGTCTTGTGCAGGTCTTATGCAGGTAATCAAAGATGCTGTGGGTTCATGTGTATTAACAGCCATGCTATATCCAGAGGACATCCTTTCATTGTACTCTTTTCTGTCATCTGGCTTTTAAGTTCTTTCTGTCACCCCTTCTACCATATTCCTTGAGCGCTAGTGGATAGATGTTTATATAGATGTCCCATCTGTGGCTGAATGTGCACAGCTACTTATTCTTAGCACTTTGAACATTTATGAATCTCTGCATTAACCACTTCCCATTAGAAGAAGAGACATCTCTCCCCAAGGTGGAGAACTGCACAAACATATCGGTAAAAGTACAAATATTTAGAAAGCAGTTTGACAACATGATGTCTTAGCAAAGCAACATTAAAGGGTTTTCCCTTGGGCCTATGACTTGACTTAGCCAGGGATTTTGAGCATGTTTACAGCACAAGCCATGAATTCCCTGTAATGGAGCAGACCTTGCATTCAATCAAGAGTGGTTGGTTACCCATATAGTCTTGCCATTGGTACACCAGTGGGTACGTCTTTCCTGGTAGGTTATATTTGTAGCATTTAAGATTCAACATTAGGTAAGACTGTTGATGTCTTTTCTCTCCCAGCTGCCTGCATAGCAACTTTCAGCAGCATGAAAATTATCCAGGAGGGAGAGTTTCCCACTTAGAGGATATTGATTTCTCTATGTCTGCATCCAAAGTGAGTGGTGTTTCTCTTTAAGGGAACTGCATAGTAATGAGAATAGTCTTCATTCTACCAATAAGACAAATCTCAACAACTCCAACAGGTTTAAAATAAGATAAGATGTATTCTTTGACCATATAGAGTTAAATTAGAAATCAATAGTAGAAGGGCCAGCATTTTGTTCAGTGGTAGAGTGTATACATTTGATCCTCAGCACAAATTGAAAGAAAAAAAAAAAGAACTCAAAAGGAGAAACTTAATGAAAATAAAATATAAATGTTGGCCCACAATGAAGGGCTATTTTGACTCTAGTAGCATGTCATATTTAGAAGACTGAGTTAAAATATTGGCAAGTAGAGCTCTTGTCACTCTTAGCTGATGGAAATTAAAAACAGTTTGGTCAAATTGAGAGCTACTTTCAACTCTTACAGAATGCAGACACTTTTCTACTCCATGGCTTTGCTATCCTACTTGAGGAATTTATCCAAAGAAAACGAAAGTATGTGTCCCTACTAGGACTTGCACACGGATGTTCGCAACAGCTTTACTACAAAAGATGGTAAAGCTAGAATAACCTAAAGGTCCACCTACACAGGGAAAATAAGTAAATTATCCTTTCCAAACAATGATGTCGGCCAACAAAAGGGAATCAGTTATTGGTAATGCAATACTAGGAGTAGAATCTCAAAGGGATTTTGCTAAAAGAAAGTTAAAAAAAAAAAAAAAGAGCCATACCACTTGGCATCATTCACATGCAATTGAAATAAATTTTCAAGAATTTAGAATAATAGAATGCAGGTCACCAGCTGACTAGAGATAAAGAAAGTGGGGAGGTCAGAATGTAGGATTTTAAAAGACTGACAGGAGCTGAGGAGATGACTGCTTTCCCAGAAGACCTGGATTCAGTTCCCTTCACCCATGTGGCCATTCACAATTGTCTGTAACTTCAGTTCTAGGGGATCTGATGCTCTCTTCCATCCTCTGTGAGCACTGCACTCACATGGTGCATGAGCAAAATATAATAAAAATAACAGTAATAAAAAGTTTCAGAGATGCACCAGAAAGCTTTAGGAGTGATTTCTGGGGAGGGTGTTGAGAGCTATAGAAATGTTTGTTATTATGATTGAGATGATGCTTTTAAAATGTATACATATTTCAAAGTCTCATGTTTTATTCTTTAAATAAATGCCTGTCAATTGTACACCCAACATGTTATATGATAAGTAGAATAAATAAAGCCACTTGAAGTTCCAAATAAATCTTATTGAAAAGACTAAAATACAAACTAAAAAAAATAAACAAAAATTGAAAATGAGTAGAGATAATTGAGTTATTGTTATGTTGGAGAGAGAGGGAGAAAGAGAAGAGAAAGAAAAAAGAGAGACATGAGAAGGAGAGAGGAGAGAGACAGGCAGAGAGATCTGACTAGCATCCTCAGTCCAAACAGCAGGTGTGTGGAGTGTCCTGTTTGCTGGTCTTGCTTACAATGCCCAGGGTTCTCCTTGGCCACAGTGGATGCTGTCAGCAGAGCATCCTCTGTCCAGAGGACTTATCTGAGCCTATCCAAATCACCTACCTACTGTGGTCAGGATAGTGAGACAGTGGTGGTAAAGCTCAATGTCCTGAAAGCAGGGACAGAGAAACATGCAGCAAGTTTGGAGATGCTATGGGGGTTGTTGGATACAGAGAGGTGGAGGCAGAAGGATCAGAAATTCAAAGTCATACTCCAGAACAGAGTGAGTTTGAGGTCAGGCTGGCCTTAAACACAGTTCCTCATGTTGTGGTGGCCCCCATAAAATTACTTCTGTGCTATTTCATAACTGTAATTCTGCTACTGTTGAGAACCATGATGTAAACATCTGATATGCAGGATATCTGATATACCACCCCCGTGAAAAGGTCATTTGACTCCTAAAGGGAACACTACCCATAGGTTAAGAACCACTGGTTCAGTGAGATCCTGTCACTGAAGTGAAATGCACAAGTTTAACTAGCAAAATGTCTATTTACAACAGGCCATTTTTATCATCTAGTAGAGAATGAAAAGCAAGGGGGAGGGAAAGTGGGATGAGAGCCGAGTAGTTGGGAGGAAGGTAGATTCTTCTGCACAAAGATAGTCTCACTTGTCATGTTGATTCAACCTGGAAGTTAGGTGAGGGTAGA